TTTTTTTTTTTTTTTGGTACCGGGGATTGAACTCGGGTCCTTGCACTTGCTCAGCAGGCGGCGAAACCACTGAGCTAAATCCTCGGCCCTCAAATTCTTTAAGTAAAGAATTAAAACAGCATTCCCATAAAGAGGGGCAAGGTCTGCAGTCTGAGACTTAGGATTCTATAAAGTAGAACTGTTTGGAGAAGGGAAGAGTAGAATCAGTATCACATATTATTTCAGTGTGCCACTATACCCCTTCCTCCAACCCGTCTTCTCTCCTCTTTGCAGAGAGAGGAGCCTCCTCACTGTGACTGGCAGGGCTCCACCAAGGTGAATCCAATCTGGTAGCACTTGGAAAGTCTGTTCTGAAACACTTAGCTCCCAGCTTCTATGCACTTCATCCCTTAAGTGTGTCAGTTAAATAGCTTTTGATTTCTAATCATTTGAAGTTTAATTATATCAAATCCTGCCTTCCTGAACTGCTTGGAACACTGCGACTATGTCATGTAGGAGATAGATAATTATATCTCAAAAACCTCTGACATCCTGACCATTCCATCTTTAGGTCCTCTTGACTGCGTATTGGCAGCATACACACACACACACACACACATGCCTGTAGCAAATAGAAACCAAACCGTAAAGTGAGGACTCAAGTCCAACCATATAAAAAATCATGTTAAATGTTAAAGGATTAAACATGCCAAATAAAAGGGATGTTTAAATACACTTTACACCAAGATTTAACTATCTGCTGGCCACAACAAATCCACTTCAAATATAAAATCACCATTAGCTTGAAAGTAAACAGATAGAAAAAGAATAATACGTGAACAATAAGCATAAGAAGGCTGGAATGGTAGTGTTAATATCAGATAAAGTAAACTTTTGGATAGAATGTAAGAAATAAAGGGGGACATTTTATAATGATAAAAAGCTCAGTACATCAGGAAGAAATAATTTATTCAATAACAGATTCAAAATAAATGCAGCAAAACTTCATAGAATGCAAAAAATGGACAATGCCACAGCCACAGAGGAGATTTTAACATTATGGTCTCAGCAATTGATAGAAAAACTGAACAAAAATCCAGCGATAACATGATCTGAATGACAGTATTATTATGGGTTGAATTATGTCCACCTAAAAAGATATGTTGAAGTCCTAATTTCTCATATCTTAGGATGTGACCTTATTGCAAATAGGGCCTTTACAGAGGTAAACAAATTAAAATGATGACATTAGGTTGAGGATCTAATTCACTTCCTATAAAAAGATGAAATTTGGACACAGGCATGGGCTGTGGGAATGAAGATAGCATGGGAAGGAAAATGATGTGGAGATACACAGGAAAAAGCCATATAAGACAGAAGCAGATTTTGGACTGCTGCAGCTCAAAACAAGGAGTGCCAGTGATTGCTCATCATAACCAGAAGGTGGAAAGAGGCAAGGCTGGATTCTACCCAGAATTTTAGAGGGTCTAGATGATACCTTAATTTCACACTTCAGGCATATATTCATATGGAAATAAATTCATCTTTCTTTGTCTGGTATCATCAATAAAAATTAACTGGTAATGGACCATAGACCTAACATAAAAGTTAAAACTAAGAAACTTTTAGAAGAAAACATAGGATATTTTCAAGACTTCAGGGAAGGTAAAAATGGCAAAACAAATCAAAATTAAAATCTCTGATCAGAAACATCATTAAGAAAACTCATAGGCAGCTGGGAATAGCGGCACATGCCTGTAATCCCAGACTCTGGGAAGTTGAGGAAGGAGGATTGCAAATTTGAATCCAGCCTGGGAAACTCAGTGATTTAGGAAGAACCTATCTCAATTTAACTTATTATTAAAAAGGGGTGGGGATAGCTCAGTGTGAAGGTCCTGGATTCAATCTTTAGTACCAAAAAGCAAAAAAGAAAAAGAAAACTTATAGGAAAACTACAAGGCAAAATAAAATAATTACAAAACATATTTGATTAAGTACTAGTATCTAGGATATGTTAAGAATTCCCAAACTCAATAATGAAACAACTACAAAAATTTAAAAATTATCAAGAGATTTGGACACTTCACAAATCATACGTAAACAGTTAATAAACACATGAAAAACAAAAATTTCAATATTTTTAGTCATTATAGAATTGCAAATTTGAATCACAATGAAATGCCACTCCACATCTACCAATGTGGTTAAAATTAAAGACTTGCCAGTACCTTATGTTGGTGAAGATGTGAATCAGCCAAAACTATTACACATTGTGGGTAGAAGGAGAAAGTTTCATAAGAACTCTGAATAAATCTTGTAACTTCTTGTGAAATTAATTGTACACCTACCCTAAGAGCCAACAATTCCACTCCTAGGTATTTACCCAAGGACCCAAAAACACATGTCCACTAAGAGAGATGTGCAAAAATATTCATATTAGTTTCATTCATCAATGCTCCAAGCAGAAAGTCCACCTGTCCATCAGTAGAAGACTGGCATATTCACACAGTAAAATACTGTTTGGCAGTGAGAAGGAAACAATTTCTGATTCAAGCAACAGGTGAATCCCAGGAAACATACTGAGTGAATGAAAATGTCCACAGAATAACATATATTGAATGCTTTTATTTTATGAAATCCTAAAACAGGTAAAACTAATTTATAGTGAAAAACATTAGAAGTTTGGTTGTCTCCAGGAATTTGTCAGGAAGGGACATGAAGAAGTTTTCCAGAGTGACGGTTATATTCTGTATCTTGAGGGGAGTTTGGATTGTACAAGTGGATGCATTTTGAGGAACTCCTGGATAATCTACTGAAGATTTATGCATTGCAGTGAATACAAATTCTATCTGAAAAGAAATAAAGGAATTATACATAAATATTGAACTCTAGGGCTAGGAATTTATCTCAGTGGTGCTGGCACCTGTTTCACAAGTGCAAGGTCCCATGTTTGATCCCCAGTGCAAAAAAA